AGAGCAAAGCCACAATGAGCTATCTGCTGTGAACCCCTGATTCTAGATGTTTAAGTCCGTAGACTTACCACTGTCCCACCGGGGGACTTGGTGAAAGAATTTAGTTTGGTTAGTTTTTGTTACTTTTAACATTAATGTTTCTGTGGTGAACTTTAAATTTAGTTTACACTTTCTTAAGTATTTTTAGTTTGTTTGAATTTGAATTTCGCGCAAAGCTACACGAGGGCTATCTACGCTAGCCGTCCCTAATTTAACAGTGTAAGACTAGAGTGAAGGCAGCTAGTCATCACCACCCACCGCCAACTCTTGGGCTACTCTTTTACCAACGGATAGTGGGATTGACCGTCAAATTATAACGCCCCCACGGCTGAAAGGGCGAGCATGTTTGGTGTGACGGAGATTCGAACCCGCGACCCTCAGAGTGCGAGTCGAGCGCCGTAACCACCTGGCCATGCCGGCCCGTATTTTTAGTTATTACATACTTTTCTTTAAAAAATTTAGTTTTGTCAATTTTATTTTATTTTCTAAATTTTATTAGTCTGCCCATTCTTAAAGTGGACAGTAAATTTCTGTTTTGTATTTTTTCTGCCCCCCCCCCCCAGTGACACAGCAAGATGTCTGCGGACTTACAACGCTAGATACCGGGTTTTGATACCAGTGGTGAGCAGAGCACAGATAGCCTATTGTGTAGCTTTGTGCTTAACTTCAAACAAACAAACTTTATTTTTTCTAAATGTAATATTTCCTTTGTGTAAGAACGTACCCACTTTGTCTCTTGATTTTTGTGCTTTTGTGTTTGTTTGTTTTTCAAAGCAAAGCCATATTGGGCTATCTACTGTGTCTAACTCGGAGAATCGTACCCCGGCCATTAGCATAAACTTCCCGCTGTCTCACTGGGTGACAAATTTTTGTGTAATTTTGTTGATTTTGTAACTTCATTTTTGCAGTTATTTTTTTTTGTGTGTGTTTTGGATAATGTAATTATTTTCTGATGTGAATTTGCTGTTTTAATTTTTTGTATTATTGTTTTATGATATGATAGAGTATAGAGGAAATTGTGCGTATATAAATAAGACAAGTAATTTAATTTAAAAAAGTAATTAAATATTTTTATTTAGTATGATTTGATGTTAAGATTGTATTAAATGTAGCTTTAAGGATTAAAGCGTTTGGTGTTTGGTTTGTATAAGTGTTTTAAGAAACAAGGAGAATTTAACACACTTATGGATCACGTCACGAGTTTAAAATTTAATTGGTTCTAATACTAATTTTAATTTTTGGTTTGAAGATAAGCTGAGAGAGAGAGATGGGTGGGGGCGGTATGCAGGTATACCGTGTTACCATCTATAGTGGTATAATTTTTTAAATTAATAATTATGTAGATTTTAGGCTGTCATAGCTGAAATACGTGGTCCAAGCTGTCTAACAATATTTTCTAGTCACTTTGATCTTTAGCTAGATGACGTCTCCTGTCATTAAAGATATTTCAGTATGTTTGAGCCTGGATTAAAGTTGGTTAGAACTGCAATAGTCTTTTCTGGCTAGGCTTTGATGTCAATTACATTAGATTGCTGACCAATGCTATCAGAGAACAAAAGTCACGAGATGCTACAGTCTGCTAGGTAAAGAAAGCAAGTTGGTTTTTGGAATCCAGATACTTTCTTTGTATCAGTTCTCTCCTAGATTTCGCAGAGAGAAGACCCAGCGTTTTTTCAGTGTTTAGAGTTGAGGTGATCTATTAGGTCGTCAAGAAATTAATGTCGTTTCTTTTTCATATGAAAAACCCGAACAACTTATGTATCAAAACAAAACATTTATTAAATGAAATTGTCTCCATTCTTATCGATTATGCTTTTCCATCTTACAATCAGGTTATTGATGCTCTATTTAAATAAATCACTTGGCTTTGAAGCCATTGTTTTTGATGTTTAATATTCGCATAGAGAATCCACTTTTCATCACCAGTGTCAATTCTGTCCAAAAATGGTTCACGCGCATTACTCGCCAAAAGAGACGAAGCAGCGTTCACACGTTGAAAATGATGATAATCAGAGTTCGTGAGGCACCCAAACACCTTCTTTATGGAGTTTTCCCATATCCCTTAAATGTTTAGGTATTTTTTCGTGAGAGCCATACAATTTAAGTGTGTTGCCTTGGATTAGACTACTTATTTTCACATAAAATAAACACTTATTTCAAATATCTTTAATCACAAAAATTCTTGTAAATTTTCTTGGTCGGATTATGCTGTTATTGTAGATAATTCTATCTAATACTTGTTAGGAAATAGTTTTTTAACTGAATATATCACACAATGAATCACTAGTAATAAATTTTAATCTAGTGATAGGTGTTTAATGAAACCAAACACTTTTGCATGTCTTGAAGGATTGATGGTTGGAAGAGCTCTCCTGGATATGAAGAATAAAGATGTCATATATGACTCTACCTTGGAATGGCTTAAATCAGGTTGGGATAAAATGATTATCGTAATGCTAATAAGATCGAAATTCATCAAAGTGATATATTATCTTTGAACAATTATCATGACAAAGAAAGACGAAATCGAAATTTAAGTAAGCTTTGAAAAGCACCATATATTTTAAAGAAAAGAATCAATGATGTGGTTTATAGAATACAGAAGGACTGGCAAACCAAGCCAATGATCATCCACTAATGGATTTGCTCGACCACCTACTGATGAAGAATTCCCTCCAGTAGCAGAGCAGTCAGTTATGGAACAAGAGATCGTCCCATCTGCTTACCATGGATCTAGGAAAAGAAAATCACTGAAAACAATTGGCAATTATTGTAATGTTTTTTTGTATTAGGTTTGTTCAAAAGACTTTATTATCAAGGAATTAGCAATGTTATAAGCCATGTGTCCAATGTTTAATTTAGATGTTAATCATTTAAACATTAACTATAAATAAGAATAAACAGTTTGTATAGTGCCAATCAGTTAGGGAAATATTTCTTAATTAATTGAGAAATTATTGAGTAGTGATTGAAACTTCAGTGAAGTATTAAGCGACTGAAAAATCAAGTAAAGTTTATCAGGTTTATTATCAAATAAATATATTTCTGTTGTAAGTGAAAACGCTAGTTATGAAGCTGTCGTTGTTGTTGTTTGAAGTTAAGCACAAAGCTACATAATGGGCTATCTGTGCTCTGCCCACCACGGGTATCGAAACCCGGTTTCTAGTGTTGTAAGTCCGCAAACATGCCGCTGGGTCACTAGGAGGCATTTATGAAGTTAAGCTTTAAACTGTGTACAAATAATGATAGCAAACATTGAGGAAGAAATATACTAATTTGTCATGTCATGTTAACTGGACTTGGCCTTATTTTCACCAAATAATCCAAATGATTCTGCCCAATGATAGAATG